CAAGGCCAAATTGCAAAAGAAAGGCATTCACAAGTTTCACTGCTGATGGGGTTTTCTGACAGTGAACAGTGACCCCCTCTCCAGTTTTTGAGCAAAAGTGTCCCAAAACGGCATAGGAGGTCTCTGAGGCAGCTCCAAGAACCTTAGGTCGAAGATTAGGCTGCGAAGAAGGCAGAGCGCAGGCAAGGACGCGAACAAGCGTATCCTCGGAAAAATCCCCAGATTGTAACGCCTTAAGGGCGAGGCATTCAGCTTCATGAACACCCTGGGCATGCACGGAAGATGAGCTGCTGCTAACTTTGCGAGCACCCTTGGTTGACAAAACGCCCTGGACGGAGCAACCTACGGGGCACACACTATCGCTGTTGGCAACAAATGACGCAAAAGGGTTGCTGGAGTCCCCTGACTCCTTGGCCTCATCACTCACAAAACGAGCTGGCTCACCATTGGATTGGGCCACAGGACGAGGCTGGTATTCGACCTCATCCTGGCCGTTGTTTCAAGCCTGAGCATGGGGGCAATCGGCCCGAACATGGTCCTTCGATCCACAAGCCTGCCCACTCGGGAGCCTAACGTCGCAGACATGCAGCTTCTTGTCCGGGCATGGCTCAGAACACCCCCTATTATCCTTCCTCTTCTTGCAAATTGGCTTGCCCTTACACTTGTTCACGGCCCTCTCTTTCAGGGCCGCTTTTGCAGGCGAGGATGAGTTGGCTGCAGCAGCATCTGCAGAAGGCAGATGGGACAATTGGGAGGGGGAGTTCCAAAGGAGTTCACTTTCTGCCAAAGCTTTGGTCAAAGCTTCCCCCTGCGGCATGGCAAGCCTCAACATCTCCACCATTTTGCTTCGTGTACGCAAGTCCCTAGATTCCAACCAGTGCAACTGGGCAGCGGGAGGCGACGGAACTGCAAAGGCCTTACGCAAGGCTTGGTCAGCATAGTTCAAGTTGACCTCCAAAGGGGAGAAGACCACTTGGGTTCCCGGAGTCAAAACTGAGTCAACATTGTGTGAGCCCGCCAAGCTATATGCATTAGCAAGGATACGAAGTCGAAAGTAGTAGTCAACCAAATCCTTGACTGGAGAAGGCTCGGAATCAACTTGCAGCTTGAGGCTAAGGTGGAGAGAAACCTCGGGTTGTTGTTGTGGAAGTGAGGCGCGATAAAGGCTGGTCACTTTGCGAGCAGGGATCAAGGAGGCTGCGCCGCGTTGGAATTCTCTATAAATACGACCCAGCAAGGAATCGCTAGGGGTGAGGTGGATCTCCAGCCGATGCACATAAAGGCGTATCCAGGCAGCATTCAGGCTCTCGGCAACTGAAGGCTCTAAGGGCTCTTCCGCATCCTCTGCCACCCCTTCAATCTTCCTTTTCCTTCGCTGTTCCAAAGACGTGTGGGCCTCCTTCCATGCTGCGCGAAGGCGTGCGAGCTGAATCAGACTACCCTTCTCTGCGCTCTTAGCAAGGACCAAGTCGTCCAGTTGCTGTTCATACTAGCCACTCTCAACCAGACCCACAAAGTCAGAGAGGCACTCCACGCCCAGGTTCTCGAGGTACTTGACCAGTTGGTCGGACAGGCGCGCACTCTTGAAAAGATTCTGGAGCTGGTCAATCTCTCGCTGTCTAGTTGGAGTGGGAGGCGGCATGTGTCTGCTTGCAGGCGGGGCTCAGGGGACTGGAGCTAAACTGGGACTTAAATGGCTGCCCGAATAACCACATGGCAAGTGCGTCCACCAGCGCCAGCCACTGAAGTATGTGACAAGAGGCAACTGCAAAGCACACTTTTTTGTTACGCGGCGAAGGGTTCAGCCGCTCCAAAAATCCTAAAAGCCCCAGCGCAAACCCCCTACTCACTAGCGGCCCCTGGCTGCTTTCTGAGCTCTGCGGCAAGGCTTGCAGGAGTGATGCGTATGTCCGGGATCACCACGATTGCAATGGGATTGGTGACAAATTTCACACCGGATTCCACAACGCATCCCCGGCATGAAGTCAGGGCACGGGACACTGCCAGAAGGTCTGGAGGTTTCTTCTTCATCAGCTACAGCGTCAAGCGCTGCAGACAAGAGCTTGCGCGCAGCTGGCGGCATAGCCCTGACCACGCGGATGAAGTCCTGGAAGGTCATGGTGGCAGCTGGAGTCACAATCGCCTGAGGAGGGGCCGCCATGTAAACCAACGGTCAAGGACTATCTAACCTGAAAAACCTAAAGGTTGAGCCCACAGAGACACCGGCAATTGGTGCAAAGTTCTGCATGTGGCAAAAATTGAGATCAACGTGGCGCAAGGCTGCGCAAGTAGCAATTGGCACACCAGAGTTTTTCAATCCTCGGATCTGCTGCGCTTGATGGCGCATGACCCACGAGGGTGCCGCCGTAATTCAACGTTGGCACAAAGCAGGTTTGTGATCCCAACACCCCGGACCGCTGGAACATTAGCCAGTGGCGCGGAACGGCAAAGGGGATGCAGATCAAGCTTCAAGCGACCCCTTTCGAAGGATGTGCACTATATTGCGATTGGCAGATGTTAGCCGCAACCACTGTATTGCCTCATTACAAGCCTCGTCATCAGAAGAGGAGCTGGGCGAGGAACTCGAAGAAGAATCACAGGGATCGTCTGCAATGGGCGCAGGGGCCGTGGCTTCTTCTACAGCAGGCGCAGGGGCGAGGGCCATAGAAGAGTGCCAGTTGATATTAGCATCGCGAATGGCCTGCCAATCAAAACTTTGCCAGCCCAAGCGGCGCGAAGTCTGAAGAAGCATAGCCAGCAAATGATGCTTTCTGTCTGCAGCGGCCCTAACCCTATCATCTGCGTAGTGATGCTGCATCTGGAACTTACGGTTGGCTTTGCCTGTGCGTTCAGTCCAGTTGCCGATGTCAAGCAGTTGCCGATGTGAAGGGCAAGCTCTTCTGGACAGCGGCACACGTCAGCAAGCGTGGGCATAAAGCGGGGGAGGCTATAGGAGGTAATAGAGGCAACCTCCTTCGGATTAGCCCCTGCCCTAAGAAGCACAGCCTGCAAAAGCTTGATAAACTTGGGCAAAGATAATTTACGCGGCAACCAAGTGGCAGCATCAGAGATGCCCGAAGGGCTGGCATGTATGTCAGGCATGACGAAGTCCATCTTGGGGAACTGCTGCCTCATGTTGTCGCGCACGCGCAGAGCATGCTGAAAGACATGGGCGTAGCCCAGCGCGGATATCGGGCCCGACCACGGAAGAGGAGGGCGCCCGCCATTCTTTCTAGCTTTTCCTCTTGCGCACAAGCCAATCAAGTAATTTCCATCCTGGTGAACTCCAGGGCTGCGCTGCAAATGAGCAAACCGAAGGCAGCAAATCAAAGGCATAAGAGCGAAGGAACAAAACGCCGCCAAGGGTGTAAACGGTCCCACAGCGATCTGGCACAGCAGAAAAAGGCTTCCGATTGCCAACGGCGTAGCTTGCTGGGCAACATGATTATCCTGTATTTGGCTCCACGAAGTAACGAAAGGATCCTGAAGTGGGAATGGCACTCCGACATGCCGTGACCACCAAGACATGCCCTGAAAAAGGCCTCGGGCCACTGTGAGCCCTCGCACACTCTGGTCTTGAAGGAACGCATAGGTGGCTTCCAAAGTAGGCAACCAAGGCTGAAGAGGTGGCGGCATAAAGCCCGCATTAAACTTGGTCCACCTACGCCAAATGCTGAGTTGTTGTTTGAGCGTGGCCTCCTCGATTTTTGCCAAACCGCGACAGAAGGAGTCACGAACACCATCAGGCTGAGAATGGTACAGTGGGCTGAAGCGGAGGCCCTTGTCCGCGAGTTGCATATAAACCTGCCAGAATTCATCCAGCAGTTTGGCCTTGCCATCTGTAAGGGGCGACATAGAAGAAGCCGCCGATCTAAACAGCGTGCGCCTGACTTTGGCTAAAGGCAGATGCTGCTCAACAACAACCCTGGCAGCAGAGGTCTGTGGCAACGGTGACATCCGCTTGTGATGCTGCGCTACTGACAAGGCAGCAATTGCATCAGAATGTTGCAGGGCGGGGCATAGGCCACAAAGCTCATGCGCTGTGAGGCCCGCTACGTCAGCATCATCCAGAAAGCCAGCTTGGGAGAGAGTTTGCAAATGGAACTCATCAAGATGAGCTGTCAAAAGCGCACTGAAGGCAGGAGGGGCCGAAACCTCCGCTGGTACCACAGAGGGCAAGTCACTCTGCAAAGGCAATGATCCTGCTGCCAGGCTAGCATGGCCGTGATGGTGTTTTCTATGACACGACATCGGCAGAATGGGCAACCGAGTCGTCAAGGCTACTGCCAATGGCTCAGAATCCGCACAAGGAAAGCAGCAAGAAAAACCTGCTCTCAAGTGCAAGGTGGATTCTTGAACAGAAACCACGGTATGCAACTCACATAATCAAGCATGTGCCAATCCCATCCAGGCCAGCATGCAACTGAACCCTCGACCCTGCTGCCGGCCACAGCTGTGGCGAAAGGCATGCGTTCCTTTGTATACGCACCTGAGAATTGAAAGCATCCTGAATGAGTCCTAGACATGTCAACATAGGGGTGCTATGCCTGAAGTATCAACAATCAAAACTGAAGTGCGACAGATTGAGGACTGGCGAATTCAGACGTGCATGATCAAGTACAGCACATTGACTCGTCCTTGAGATTTGGTCGTAGCTTCTGAGGGGCTTCTACACGTGATGTGCTGTTGCCCATGTTGTCCTCAATCGTTTCCATGCCCCAAAACGTCTTAGAACAAAGGCAAAGGTCATGTGAGCGTTTCCAGACACTCCATGTCTAATCCCACGCCATGGACAACTTGGCGGGATCCCATGGCTTTTGAGGGTTTTGCGTAGGATGACGTGTTTTTAGGGGTCTTCAGCTTAAACACAGTCATAGTTTCGTTCTAGATTGAGCGGTATCGCTTATGGGAGGTCCTATCGCTTTTGGGGCTTTTACGTGATTCTTGAATCTCACAGCATTCCTTCTCTTCGTCCGTAGCATACGAATATTGACCATTGCTCATGTGTCCGAAGACATCTGCATACATGACATACGCATTCCTGGCCAAAGCCCGGATGCCTTCTGAAAGTCGTGGAACTCCTTTGAGAGGTCTCGCACTGTGTCATTCCACCTGCCAACCGTTGGTACCAGTTCGAGGGGCTACGCGGTCCAGCCCTCGCAGTGCGCCTGTTCATGTTTTCGGCTAGACTGGTTATTGCCTGATCGTGTTCGCTGCGGAGCCTGGCTTGGTGGACATGAAGGCTGCTGCACCCTGTGGTTAACGGAATGCAACAGAGAATTTCTGCAGCATCTGACCGATCACCCGTCCTTTTCATCTCGTTGTTGGCATACTGGGCTGCCATCTCTACCTGCCAGGCAGGTGCAAACTTTCTCCCTAGAAATGGAACCGCTGGGAAAATGCAAGAGGGCACAGGCCAACCCACTTTTCTGCACGCGGCTGTTTGAATGGGCGCGGGTAGCAGCATGTCACGGCTAGGTACTACTACTGTCTCGCTGACGTGAGGGTCCCGCAGTGACTTCTTGAAACTCATATCTTGTTGGCCCAGGCTAAATGCTAATCTAAGCTCGTTGGAGTCTCAGAGGGCTTTCTTCAGCTTGGAAAAGTAGAGCTTGCTCTGCTTCGCCTTCCGTCCTTCAAGTCAAGCCATCATGTGCGCTCGTGCTACACACACTGGCAGCAAGCTCGGTGCTCCTAGAGTCAGCAGCTGGCCACACTCCGTCTGAACCTCCAACATCAAGGCATTCAAGTACATCTACAAAACTGTTGACAGTGAACACATGTGATGAGCAGCTGGGCACTCGGCAGAGGATATGCCAAACTGCCGGTCGGGTGGCAACACCTGCACCACAGGAATCAGGTGAGGCTTGTTGTGCATATTTGTGCATGCATGCGTATCAATAACACAACGTTGTACCAGGCGTGCCCATGACTCGTGCCACTCTACCGTGACGACAAGCCTCGAAATCCTCCTGGGTGTTCCGAAGGAATCCACGCACGACGGTGTCGGTCGTCCGCTCCTGCAACAAAGCACACATACACACAGTTGCATACATCCCTTCCATTTTTTTGTGCCTCCACGCGAGCCGTAGAGTAGAGTAGCATCCCTCCTGGTCGGAGGAGCTTGGCTGCGTTGCAGAGCAGCGCCTGGCGCAAAAATCCGCAAAAGAAAGGAATCCAAACAAAATACCAAGCCGCACGTGTCATGCAGGCATGAAGCATACATGGATGGCCTGTGTGGTGTGCAGCTCTGGTCTACAAAGCCCCTCATGGAAATCCTGAAATCCGACCAACATTATAGCAGGCCGCATGCCTGGGCCAGCTCAGGATACTTGAGATCTGGCATCCTGCCGATGGCGCGAACCCTCATGTAAAGCAATCACTAAGTGGCAGCGTGTCATACGCAAGGCCTTGCCCCAAAGCATCCAGTGCAACTTGGGTCAACAATTATCCGGTCGAAAGGGCCCAGCCTCAGCAAGTTCTCTAAGCATCTCTGATTGCTGCGCCATGCTCATCTTTCAAGTACAGAGCCGCAAAAAGTTTTAAGACTGCAACGTTCGAATGATAAGGTGAAACTTTGCTGTGAAACTCGCTCGTGGCAGTTGGGAGATGCTGACATACCGTACACAAGCTGCTATGTGCTTAGATGCATCTTCTGCGACGAGCCATTTGGGTGAAAGCACTGTGAGACCTGGACACAACACAAATCATTCCGTGCTGTCCATGCCGGTTGGGGCCGAGCTGTCACCTGGCGGCTGTGCGGATCTGTCAGCAGTTGTTGCAGCACTTTCGTCAACGCCTGCTGTGACGTCAGGCGGTGCCGAGGGCTCATCTGGTTGCTGCGTAGATCCAGCGGCAGTTGCAGCACCTTCATCAGCACCTGCTTCAACGGCAGGCGCTGCCAAAGGCTCGGCTGGCTGATGCTCTGGTTGTTGCACGGACCCATCAACAGTTGCTGCAGGACCTTCGTTCTCGCCTGCTTCGATGTCGGGCGGGCTGAGGTCTCGTCTGGCTGAGGACCCATCCACAGTTGCGGCAGGACCTTCGTCAGCGCCTGCTTCGATGTCGGGCGGGGCTGAGGTCTCGTCTGGCTGGGCCGAGGACCCATCCACAGTTGCGGCAGGACCTTCGTCAGCGCCCGCTTCCCCTGCTTCGACAATCCCGCTCGCCACATCTCCAGCAATTTCAGTCTCCTTGACTTCTGCCTCTGAGCCAAAAGCGTCTGTTGTGGCAAAGACTTCGGCCCCCTGTGCTGGATCTTCGAAGCCTGCCCTCATGCTTACTGGGTGTTGCTGCTCCATGACGGGCTCGTTGGGGTAGCTAAAGCGGTCTGGCTGACCAGTGTGCATGGCTGCAGCGTCACCGTAGAGGCGTTTCAGCTCTTGCCTGTGCCGCTCCTTGGTCTCCTTCATAAGCTGCTGCCATCTTTCGCTTTCTTCATCCGTTTGAAGCTTTAGCCTTCGATAGGCATCTCTGTGCGCACGGGCATGATCGAAGGCATGCATGAGGCGATCCTGGACAAGCATGGGCAATTATGGTGCAGCACTGCAAACAGGAAGTCCCACAAGATCACTGAGGCCCTAGAGCGACTTTCATCCAACTCGAGTCCTTCATCTCAAGCTTTTCTTGCCGCTCATGCCGTAACTGCGCCTTGACGGTGCGCAGCTTTTCATACAGCGCAGCCCGGCTGGCACTTGAGAAGTTCTGCCTTGGTTCAGAAACAAGCCTACAACCTACGAAAGATTTGACTGCTGAAACGGAGTTGAGATGCATTTCTGCTTTTGCCTTTTTGGCCTGTAGATTCAGCAGTTCAAACAGCAGATCAAATCCTAAACACCGCAGCGCAAGCCAACCGCCTGCTCAAGAAGCTGCTTGATTTCCTGCATCCTCATGGCTTGCTCCTGTGTCATGCCTGGACCAAACATCCGATGTCACAAACACACAATACAGGTTTCAGGGTTGGTGATTACTGACGGTTACCACGCCTTTCCCCATCGTCCACTCCTGGGCTGTTTGCACGATGGAAAGCGTCTGCTCCAAGTCCGCCACCCTGCCCAGCCACTGTTGTGCAGTTCATCCGTGCAGGGGCTAGCGGCTATTGCGCTGGAAGGGCCTGTCTTTTAGTCTTTTGTTCTCCTTCTTCAGCTCTGAAACTTTTGCGCGGACGAAGTCAAGAGGCCTCGACGCAACGTGAAAGCAGTGGTTTGCACCAGGCTGCGTTCACGAGGCAGCTGAAGGCCTTGCACCAAGGTTGACAGCCTCGTCTGCGTGGGTATGCGCTATCAGCAGATCCACTGGGTCCGGCGGATCCAAAAGCATGGCATCATCCTCCTGACAGAGAGACAGCCCTGCATCTGGAGGTCACGACATTCTAAAACAACCCGCAAGAGATCCTCAAAGCTGCCATCAGCTCCGAAGTTTGTGCTCTTTTTCGGTCCGCCGTCAACGAGGGCATCCGCAAAGATCTCGGACATTTGGATGCCTGTCCAATAGCAATGACGGGACCTCTGGATGCCCTCCATGCCCAAGAACCCCTTTACACAATCACGCAGCCTCGCGCCAACCAAATGCCAGGTCCCTCTTTTTTCTTTGAGCCCAAACGACCATGCAACACCAGAAGACTAGTTGCTTGTTTGCATTCTAAACACACCTGCGAAGCATTTTCGGTGAAGAAAGCACGTGAGGCAGGTACCTCTGCAGTGGAAGAATTGATTGTTTCTGCCAAGCCTCGTCCGAGCCAACCAGCACACATTGCCGAGACTTGGCCAAAACATGTCAATGCCCCAGGCCTCTACGCTGCTGACAAGAACATGCACAGCATCTCCTGCTGGCCTGCAGACCACAGGACAGCAACCATGACCATGTTCAAGGGTTCCCCCAGTACCCCCTTCTATACTACTACCCCCCCCTAGGTTCCCCCCTTGACTAAGGTTACTTAAGGATAATTAGGCTTAATAGAGGTTAATCAAGGGGGTACCTTGGGGGGGGGGGTAGTATAGAGGGGGTAGTAGAGGAACCCATGACATGTCCTTTCGTAGTTTCCATGTGGCTTTCCATATCTATGGACGAATGGCAGCAAAGTACCATATTTGGGTAGTATCCACCCAATATTTCAGATATCAGCAGCAATGTAAAAGCAAATGGAAACTACCCCGGTCTGCACCAAGCCTTTGAAGGACGGGGACCTGTCAGTGGCTCGGCAAGTTTTGAGGAACTCCAGATGAGCTATAGCCTTAACTCCCAGTATCCCCCCTTAGAAACCCTAGAGTAATCCCCGATGTAACCCCCTTTAAGGAGTTTAGACTGTAGATCAAATATAGACATCTTGTACAGTAGTCTCAAAAAGTTGCGTCCGTTCTTCCAATCTAGGCTCCAGGTGCCCGGGCTGCTGGTGCTACGGTCGTGTACACTGGTCTCAGAATAGAAGTCTCGTTCTACCACTACCGCTGCAGAAGACCTTCAACATCAGGACTTTGTAGCGAAGAATCCTGATCTCAGGAGATCTTCGAAATCAACTCTCAGCCCAGCCTGTGGTGGAAGTAAACCCTGGAGCCATGGCTCCAAACTTCGCGCATACTTCCTGCGCGGCAGAGACCAACTCAATGCTTTTCTCGGATTGCATGGAACCCGTCACGAAGGGATTATGACATGAAAAGGTCTTGTCGATGCTTCCCAGGCCGTGCTCTGTTCAAACCAAGAAGCTGCTCATCCACAGGGAAGATACTGCAACCCTAAACCCTGAACTCTAAATCCTGAACCCTAAACCCTAAACCGAGTCCCACCAAGCCTGTCTGGAACATTGCAAACAAGGACGGAGCCCTGGGTCCTGCCAGTAGGTCACCGAGCTGAGGCTGATCTCATTCGAGCTATAGCCTAAAACTCCTAGTATCCCCCTCAATAACCCTATATAATATCTCATATAACCCGCTCAAAGGAGGTTAGACTCTAGCTCATTTACCACAAGCGTTGACCCACAAGTGGTCCTCTCGTCTAAAGCACCAGACTCTTGCCCAACACTTTGGAGCCAATTGACGCCTTCGTTGGTTAACAGGCAGATTGCTAGCCTGATGCCTGTGCTGATTTCTAGCACCAAGGCTCTGGCACTGTCTGTCGGAGAATAGGGAGCAAGCAAGGACTGCAGCCTTCCGGGCAGGTGAAGTTTTTTATGGGAGCCAGATGTTGTCACGGATGAACTGTTACAGCCATACGGTTGGCAAAACTTACAACAGCTTGTTCTAAAAAGCTGAAGATCAGGAGATTTGCGCTCGGAAAATGCTCAACCAAGATGTGTTGCTGGCATGGCTTGTGCCTTCACGGCTGAGCCGCACAGATCCAAAACCCTTTCGCCCGGCCTCAGCTGTGCAAGCTGCAGACAGGACACCTATCCCATCACAGCTCGGAAGCAACCAAGGCTCTTTGTTCGCATCTGAGGGGCCCGCTGCACTTGCAGCAACAGTGCGGATACTGCCGGGTGGGCTGGAACTGCACAACACCTACCGGGTTGATCAGCGGCATTTTACATCTCACCGCTTCAGTCATTCCCACGTGCTTGGCTGCAGGCCCCACGGATGGGGTGGACGGAGATGCACCCTCCAGTCAAATTGCCAAGCGCATAGTTCAAACAGACTACGTTGACTGTAGCAAAACACGGTGCCTCAGTGCCGTGGTTTGAAGCATCCACACCAGACGGGGGCTTGTCATCATGAACCTTGTGGCATCAACGTCGCAGCACTAAACCTTCAATGAAAACCTGAACAGTCAGGGGCCCCTAAACCCTAATAATAATGGGAACAATTAAAGGACCGGAGAACCCGACATGTGTAGTTTAACCCGAATCTATGTGAAATGATATTAAGATACCGTCGCCCGCCGATAAAAGAAGACATGTATAAAAGAATGACAAACCCTCGAGACGACATTCCGCGATGAAACGATGAGCACATTGAATCATTACGCGAGCGCGAAGTCGGCATCAGAGATCACTTGTTGCCAGAGTTGCCTCCAGAATGGAAGTGGATGTGGGCTGTCGGAGACCGCTGAAATTGCGGCGCTGGCAAAGTAGCCCCTTCAAGACGTGCGCATGTACGAAACTGTTATGCACACATCCACCAACGTCACGCCACACAAAGCAGAACAAACGGGTGACTGGCCTGGTCTTCTATTGCTTCCAGATCAAGCTCCTGCGTGGAGCAGCGACAAAGATTTCCACAAATTGTTTTTTGAAGGCGTCCTTCACGACATCGCGGCGCAAATCCAGAGACGCAAAAGGATTCAATCTCGGTGGCAACACGTTTGAAGCCAAGGCGAATCTACCGAGACTGCTACACGTGGAAGTGCTGAGCTCGAAACAATATCAATGTCTGGTCCAAGGTTGACAAAACAACCTTAGAGAGGGTATTGGGGTTATATTGGGATAATGGAAAAGAAAATGGAAACTACTATAATGGGTTATACAGGGATTATAGGGTATATATTGGGATAATGGAAAATAGAATGGAAACTACTATATTGCATTTGGGCTGTGTAATTTCAGACCAGGGATCCTTGTGCTGCGACCCAGGTAAGGCAGCGGCTTGCTCATCGAACGCGCGGCTTCCTTCAGCAAACTCTAGCTTGGCCAGCTTCTCCTCCACCAAGAATCTACGGCGCCCTGAAAAGATTCAGATACCAGCATGCTGAGAGCGTGGCTTCTATGTTCTCGCCGGTCTCAAACCTAGCAGTCTTGCACACAAACAATGGACAACACTATGTAATGTGAAGAAAAGGCTGGATAGCCTGAAGCAAAGTGGCTCACCTTTAACAGCAACGCCCCCAGCCCTGGCCTCTGCAGGAACGCCTTCTGTGAGAAAGCTGCGGTGGCTGACGACAAGCTGGCCTCACGAAGGTGAAAGCGTCTCCAAACTTGCAAGGATTAGGCTGTGCGCGCAATGGAGCTGAAAAGCATCAAACTCCGTATCACGGGCCTCCCAAACGCAGGTGTCGGGAGCGCCCCGACAGCTGACAGGACACTCAATGGCTGTGTAGGCCATTGAGTTCTTTGCTCAACGGCTTATGAAAACAGCATCTTTCTCTGAGGTCCGCAAGCCGAAATAGGCGTGAGCCAAGAACCGTGCTGCAGCCATGAGAACAAGAGAAAAGGACAATGCGTACATCCAAACAAAAGAACAACATGCAGCCTCGGAGACCTTGTTTACGCTCTGCTCAAAGGTGAGATGCTGCTGCCTCACGCAGTCCCATGCTTCGAGATTTTCCAGCTTGCATGGTATGCAGAGAAACTGCCCTAGCGCACAAGCTGTCTTGGTGCATGAGAAACGAAGAGCAAGGGTCGTTCATCAAGCCGGCCTGTTGACATCATCGCCCTTCATTCTAAGCTCATTCACCTTGCGCAGCAAACTCTGTGTGAGCCGAATCATATTGCGGCACCTGGGGTTTCCCAAAAGTACGGGTACCTTCTTGGGGGTCTCTATAACAAGAACTATAGTATTTTGGGGTCTATAATGGGATCCCCCTATTTTGGGAAACTACCACATAGCTACAAAGGTACCTCCGTTTGCAACTGGATAATCTGCTGCTGGAGCTGCTGATGCGTGTGAGCATAGGCCTCCCAAAACGAAGTTTGCATCTGCTGAAAAGGTCTTCCAATGCCAATATATTGGGCTTGTATATATATATATATACACATATTCAGTATATTAAAATGTATCATAGTATAATGGGGTTATATAGTATATCAAATACATTAGGGTTATGTAGGGAGAATGGAAAATGAAATGGAAACTACAGCGATTATATGGACGATATGGGGGTTGTAGCATCTGTCCTCTCACAATCCATGGAAGCTGCCTTTTTCAAGGTCTCAAGCTCCAGAGTCTTGAACCTGGTTCCGTGCCAGAAGCGAAATACCATGCGTATTGCAAGAATGAGGACTGCAAGTTGCGGCTATGTGTCGCTCAGGCAATCATGCCGGGTGCACTGTAGCTGCTCCGACAAGGATTGGCATTCTGCATGGACCTGTCGGGAAGACCAGCTTGCACTCGCATCTTCCGCCTCTTTTCCACACCTCCTGCTCAAATTGGCTTTTTGTCTTTTTCATGTTGGCGATCTCTGTATACCTACATGCCGTGCACAACTGCAGAGCGAGTTTCCTTGGAGGTTCTTTGCTGGAACATCTGCGAAGGCACGCGTCTGTGAGCTTGTCGCGCAGATCAGAGATCTGTGATTGCATCTGCTGTTGCACCTTGCTTCAGATTTCAAACAGGAGCATCCAAAAAGTTGCAAGCAACAACATGGAAAAGAAAACAGGGAATCTTGCACTGCTGAAGCAAGTTGTACTAATAAGGCTTGCACGGTGGCAGTGTTCCTTTTGAACTCTGTCAAATCCGTGTTGTTGGAAGTTATACCTCTCATACACTCAATTCAGCAGGCAAAAGGCAAAAGGACTGAAGTTCCCCAGGCTTGTACCATTGCGGATGATGCCCATCTCTGCGAGCCTTAGGCCAGCCAGGCAGAGCCAGGCAGTGAGCAAACAGATCTGTTATGTGAATCTGAGAGCAAAACATCTGCTGTAGGGAAGAGTTGCTGCGCAACTTCATTTCCTGAATGCGATACTTGGAAGCTGCAGCTGCAGCAGCTGCAGCTTTGGTGACTGGAGCAATCATTGAAGTGCTGCCCATGGCTCGGAAAGCCACTGGGCAAATGCCAGAACAGTGACATCCAAGTCCTGACAGTAAGCCGTGGTGACACGTACATGGGTGGTCAAAAGAAGTCTGAAGGTCCTGAGCAGAAGGGAGGCGCTTGCCCGCGTCTAGCCTTAGTCAAGACAGTCAGCGGAAAGCATTCGCAGCAAACCAGCTGAGACTAGCCGCTCCATGCCACCAGGATGGGCCATGCTGACCTTACGAAGCACAACAATCAATGCCATCACAACGACACACAGCCATAAACCCAAACACAACGAGTGGTAAGCAGGTGGCCGGGTCCCCTGACCCGCAGCTCAGCTACAGTTCCTGCTCCTCTATACTCCAAGCTGTAAAGTGTTCAAGGATGCGGTCGCAGGCACTTGCTCAACGCACTCCGACAAGCAAAGGCAAACAGGAAGGCCCGTAAGCGGCGCAGTTCTATGCATCTAGCAGCTTTTGCTGCCGCACTTGGCAGTCTAAAGACAAGCAGTCCCTGCTGCGTTGCCGCTAGTCGCCTGCACTCAGAACTGTCTTGCCTCAGACGGCATACTTCCCTTCTCATGCATAAGACGCACACTGCGTGCAAATCGCGGCGCGCTTCATTTCACCTACTCCAGGGCAAAAAGAGCGTGCTGCAAATCTGCTGATACGCTTCTGCCATGCTGAGCTTGCATGGTTCGACCAGGGTGAGGTTACTGAAGTATTTGCACACCCTAAGCGAGGGCGGACTGTGTCAAACAAGAACTGGACAAGCTAGTATATCTAGGCTCCAGACTCAAACACGCAAGGAGGCCAGCTGCCATCCTGAAAAAAGCAACAAGAGCAGCGTACATGGAGAGCTGCCTGTCAAAAGTTGCCTTCGACATGTCTCATCAGCCTCGTTTGGTGGAAGCACCTGCAGCTTTGATCGTTTGCACAAAGTATGTTCACGAACCTGGCTGCCTCCAATTTGTCGAGGAGTGCCGTGCTGTCAAGGACCAGATCTTCGCAACCCACCAACACTATGCGGGACCTGAGCAATGAAGCCGTTGCCGCAGTGCCGTGTCTTTCCGCTAGCTGAGGTGGAGGCAGCAAAAACAAGCTGCAGCGGCGCACTTGAGCTTCCGAGTGGCCCAAAGCCTGTCCAAGAAGAACTGTATATTCTGTATCTCAGCAACATTCTGCTGTCAGCCCGGCCTCGTCAGCCAGCTTCAAGCAGTTATGAGCAAGCGTTTGACGATCTGGGCAGGCTCGGCCCGCACACTCCAGCATGACCTCAACCAGACAAACATGCGGGTGTGATCAGGGTATGCAAGCAAGCGGAACTGGGATGCTTGCTGCAAGGCACCGCAAGAACTCTGCCACCAAGTTCGGCTCTCCTTAAACAATCCCTCTGAAAGTTGCCGTCGTGCCAAGTTTTCGGTACTAAGGGCGGAAATGCTTGGACTCCTGCCGACGGCCCATTTTGCTGCTCCGCCGTCGGGCTGCTCCCATCTAGATAGAACATTTGAAGCAAGCTGTGTCGATCACACTCTGAAAAAAAAACTGATCAGGCCGCCTGGCCGCGAGGGGCAGAAGGAAATGACGCGCCTCTGAGGAGAACCTGGGCCAGGCTCTCTAGCCAAAAGCGGCCAACTAAAGCAGGAACAGACCCAGCCTGTTCTTGAAAGACTTGGGAATTCGTGTAGCAGATGCAAATCGACGCGTCTTTCCAGCTGCAGGTGGTGCCGGAGAGGCTCCTCAAACCGGGAAAGCATCAGCAGGATCAAAGATTAAATCCCAAACCCTAAGCTGCGGCCTGGTGCATCGTCCACCTTGGCACACACAGGCGACGCAAAGGCATCACAACTGCTTCCACAGTAAGCCACTCGCCTCGCTGCTGGCAGCGAGCTCCCGCGCAGCAGAGGACAAGCTGTGAAGAATGGCACGGCGCTCATGCAGCGACAAGTCCTGCAACGGCATGTGGCTCGGGTGCCAAACCCAGCTTTGCTCGCATGATCTAGCAGCTAGCATGTCTGGAGCTCCTCCGAGGTGAAGTCTGTGATCATGCGTTTGACCGCTTGACGGCGGCTCGTGTCAGCTATCAGGAGGCTTGCCAACGCCTTCAATGCCGCACATGCGCTGCGACGCTCCAAAAGAGAAGCATGAAAGGCTTGCGCCTTCAACCTCATATCCTGCAGCTCGTCACTGCCTGCCTCCGCATGCTTGACTTTAAAGCTCTTTGTGCAGGACATACCTTTTTGAACAGGACACGCTGCAGTGCAGCATGGCACTGGCCTCCATGCGCAGCAATCTCAGGCATAGAGGCTCCGCAAGCCTGTCATGAGACCAAACCTATACTGGGTCGTGAATGAGTCAGTGAGCCCTAAACCCTAAACAACCGAAATAGTAAATTCCAGTTTCTCTCGAAAATCCCTATGTATGCGCCAGCATTCATGGGTCGTCCCCCTCCCCCCGCCCCCCCTAATGGTCAATGATATAGATTGGCATTAACCTACCCCTAATATTCAACCCCCCCACCCCCCCTTAATATTAAATATGCCTAATATACTATAGTATACCACAATGGGGTGTGTTTACCTGGACCCATTTTTTCTGTCTGGCGGGCGTATATCTGTTTGGTTGTATGGCTAGATTTCTATGGAGCATCGCAGGATAAGAGGTAGTAGAACGCAACGTCCATGAGTCTGTGAGCAAGCTCTTCGGCACAATGCCATGCCCCTTCACAATCATCAGAAAGATTAGCAAGGATGGCCGAAACCCCTCAACCTTGCACTCGCACCGTCACAAATGCTTGGTAGCGTCGACCTCTGTTGACTGAAACCTTGGTCCTCAATTGAGGTTGTTTCTGAGATCCAATGGGGGGGGCGTCTAGAACAGGGGCTTCTTTACTGATCTTCGATTCCCTTAGAATGGTCCAAGTGTTGAGCCCGACGTGGTGATTGTACCCCAACCCTCAGAGACCTCGGGCCCCTGGAACCAGCAGTCCCTCTCTTTCCGCGCGGCGACCCTATTCACGACTTTTCCGTTTTAAGGATAGTTGACCCCTGAAATATTCAGAGATTTCTCTATTTGATTAAGGACCCTCGTCTGCTACCTTTCCCTGTAACCAGATTTGGGGCTTTCCATAATATGCGGGGGGTGGGGAGGTTTAATATTAGGGGGAGAGGATTGACCTACCCCACCCTGGGGTTCTTTGGTCCTGTGGCTTGGGTTTAATTTAGAGGTTGATCTTAGGTTATTGTACCTATAGAGGGGTTCAAAAAATTAAGAAGATTTGCAGAGTCTTCACCATTTCGTACAAGCTTTTCAAGTGTTCAAGATTCTCTGCGGAGTTTCTAAAGGATTTATGACGGTTTGAAATAGAGATGGAGAGTTTCTAGTTTACAGGGAGTTCATGGCTTTTATAGACGGTTGAGAAAAACAGAGTTTTCTGAAGGGGTCGTAGAAACTTCATAAGGGTTTGATGAAGTTTTATCGGGGGCTTATGCGGGTATCCGCCGTGGTGCTGTGGTCTGGGTCGTGGTGAGGGTTTATGGAGGAGAGGGTTGAAAAAAGGGTTTAGAGAGGCTTTACGGAGAGTTCATGATTTTTGCAAGATGCAAATATGGGATATGGATCATCCGGACCATGGGGACCATACCATTGGGAGTGGGGAGGGAAGAGGGCGGGACTGGGAACGCGGAGCGCCGGCGCATATATGACCTTGTACAACCCTATGTAGCCCAATATATCCCCATATAGCCTATATGTACCTATGCCCCTCTAAATCCCAATATAACGCTATATATCCATGTATATATATATGATTGAGATACCTTTAGGGTCTATGTGCCGCCTTTGTTTCTTTCTATAATCTATACAGAAATTTACATAATTTAAGTAATTTAAATAATTTAAATGGGTTGGCTTTAAATTATTTAAATCCAGCCTGAGCATTTAAATAATTTAAATCCAGGCGATTTAAATTATTTAAATTATTTATATTATTTAAATTATTTAAATCAGGCCAGAGAATTTATATAATTTAAATCCAGCCCATTTAAATTATTTAAACTCTCTGGCCTGATATAAATAATTTAAATAATTTAAATAATGTACATTTAAATTATTTAAATTATTCAAATTAGTTAAATTATTTAAATCAGGCCAGAGAATTTAAAAATCTAAATGGGCTGGATTTAAATTATTTAAATTCTCTGGCCTGATTTAAATAATTTAAATAATTTAACTAACTCAAATAATTTAAATGGCCTGGATTTAAATTATCTAAATTATTTAAATTATTTAAATCAGGCCAGAGAATTTAAATAATTTAAATCCAGCCCATTTAAATTAGTTAAACTCTCTGGCCTGATTTAACTGATTTAAATAATGTAAATAATTAAAATGGCCTGGATTGAATTCTCTGGGCTGATTTAAATAATTTAAATAATTTAAATGGCCTGGATTTAAATTATTTAAATTATTTCAATAATTTAAATTATTTGAATTATTTAAATCAGGCGAAATCTG